ATTTAAATCAATCATTTAATGTAAACTTTTTAGTAAGTGGTAGAAAAATTCCAAACTAACAGAATTATCAAGAATTAGACTGTGTATGTACATAAAATATACCGTATCTCTCTATAGGCAGTACTGAGAATAAATTATCTTTGCCAATAAGATTATAGATAACCACATTAAGCTGAATTTACATAAAGAACAATGTATCAGTCTGAGTTGAAGAAAAACTGTCTAGATCTCAATATAGCCTTAGACCAGTGGTTCTTAAACTTTAAAGTGTGCATCAGAATCACCTGGAGGGCTTGTCAAAGCACAGATTGCTGGGCCCTATTCCAAAGTTTCTGACTCAGTATGTCTGGGATGGGGCCCAAGAATTTACATTTCTAACTAGTTCCTGGGTGATACTGATACTAGCTGGTGGGCTGAGAACCATACTCTGAGAATCACAGGTTTGCACATACTATGTACATAGAAAATGATATATTGAAATGTTCTTATATACATGACACAAAATATATAGAAAGACAGCTGGTTTTAATGAATTCCCAAACATGTAGGTTAGCAAGCTGAATGTTTCTAAAATGATTTGCTAAAGTGTAATCATTTCACCTTATAGTAAATTACATTTTTAAGTCTTAGGTCCTATACAGTCATTTTAGAAAAATCCATATAACATTTATACCAAGTAGGCTATTTAAAAGAAAAGGGACGTAATATTCTAAATAGTTAAGATGTATTCATTAGGAAGGAATCATCACTACACAGCATTCTTGGCTTCTTTGGAATGATTAAAGTGCATAATATCAATAGGGTATTAAGAATATTGCATAAGTGTTTGCAGTCTTCAGTGCCACTAACAGTCACAGAAATACTAGCATGGGGAAAGCAGCCCTATCCCAAAGGTACTTCTATCCTGACCTGTTGCTGATGGCACTTTCTTCAAGCAACACCACTGTGGTAAGGAGCTGGAATAGAGGCAAAATTAACAAAAACCAGGGCACTCTATCCAACTGTATCTGATCAAAAGGAATTACCTTAAGTCTGGAGGGACTCCTTTCTCATTTCCTTTCACCTTTTATTCTAGGTGAATTAACTGACAATAGACAAGAATAAACAACTTTGCCTTGTCTAGTCAAAAAAAAAAAAAAAAAAGGTGACATAGTTAGGCTTTACCTAAACTATGTTTTAGTGATTTATTTTCATCTAATTAACATAAGAGAAAATGCTTTAAACACTTTCTCTCTGAAATTTACACACATCCGTGTGCATGGAGTTTCACAGATGCTAAAATTCTAATCAGCATTCAGTTAAGACCTACCTTTAGCTGGTTGAGATGAAGACAAATTTAATTTATATAAAGCCTGAATGGTCTAATTCTGTAATCTTTTACCCTCTCTGAAAGAAACAATTCTAGCAATGTACCTTTTCTGTTTTTCTTAAGCCAAAGGGAAGAAATGGAGAAAAGAAGATTTAAATGGAAAAAGTGAAAGCTGGGATCTGTTGAAACTATCTGTGTATGCGGTTTTTGGAAACAGTGAAAAATGAAATTATAAATGATAAAAAGGCACTTTTCCATAGCATTAGATCTAGATATAAAATACTAATTTAAAAATTTTTTTGAAAGAGTAAAAACAATTTTATTAATAAATGAGGCTAGAATGGCATAAAAATAAATGCGGATTAAAGAAGTAATTAGGCCAGGCGGGGTGGCTCATGCCTGTAATCCTAGCACTTTGGAAGGCTGAGGTGGGTGGATCACTGGAAGTCAGGAGTTCAAAACCAGCCTGGCCAATATGGTGAAATCCTGTCTCTACTAAAAATACAAAAAAAGATTAGCTAGGTGTAGTGGTGAGTACTTGTAATCCTAGCCACTCTGGAAGCTGAAGCAGGAGAATCACTTGAACCCAAGAGGTGGAGGTTGCAGTGAGCTGAGATCACACCACTGTACTACAGCCTGAGCAACAGAGCAAGACTCTGTCTCACCAAAAAAAAAAAAAAAAAAAAAAAAAAAGAGTAACTAGAGCACTGAGACCATCCACAAATGATATTGTAGATATTATTCTGATAGTTACTATATTATGAACATTATCACTACAATTTTGCTCTAGTGACACAAACAGGCAGAGGAGAAAACCTCTTTTTAATACATGTTATGAGATTCTACTAACCCACTTGCTAGGGTATATACTCTGAGTTATTTTTCTAACCTATGGTCTTTCTTCATGGAGTCCTTCCATATAGCCTAAGGCATGCAGATATAAGACAGCTGTCTTCGTTAGGGATAAAGCCTATGGTCATAAAGCAGGGGAAAGCTAAATAATTTTAAAAATCAATTAGGAAACAGATACTGGAACAGAAATCTTCATCAGAAAAATGAAAAATTGTAAAATTACTATTTCTGGTGAAAATGTATAACCATGGTGAATTTGAGACTTTAATTATTAAATCATTTTATCTGGTCATTATTTGTTGATGCATCTAACAGATTCACTTTCCTAAAACAAGCATTTATAAAGGCTTAAATGGTCAAAAATAATTATCTTAGTTCTGGAGGGACTCAGATACAACTTTATTTCCTTTGACACTATTTTTCCTATGTAGATTAGCTGAGGTTCTGATGGGCAAGAAATGCACTAGAATAAAATTCCAAACTATAGCACATGTGATATTACCAAAAAAAAAAAAAAAAAAAAAAAAAAAAAAAAAAAAAAAAAAGGAAGGGAGAAAGGAGGGACGGAGGAATAAGGGAAAAAGAAGAAACGAAGAAGGCAAGGAGGAAGGGGAAAAGGGAGGGAGGAAAGAAGGGAGGGAGGAAAGTCCTTCATTAATACTTCTATAATAAAGCCCTTAAAAACTTGTTCTTTTTAAAAAATGAGTTGTTTTAAAACAGATTTGCAATGGCTAAATAACATGATATTCTATAATCATAAAGGTTACATGATCAAGCTCAGAGGCAAAATATGACTTAGAATTATCGTCACCCATGTTGGTCTGGATATATAATGGAATGATGACAATAAGGAATCACACATACACACACACAGAGAGAGAGGTGAAGGGGAGAGAGGGGAGGAGGGGAGGCGGGGAGAGAGGGAGGGAGGGGGAGGGAGGGGGAGGGAGAGAGAGGAGAGAGAGAGAGAGAGATAAGCTCCAAGCATTAATGTGAGTTGCTGAAATCAACAATTGAATGTAACAATACGAAGAAAGAAAAGGTGGCTCACAGTTTATTTAGGTCCTTCTGCCATAAATACATTTAATCAATTGTTGTTTCTATGGCCTTTGCTGGCTCACTGAGTCTCTCCTATATGTAGCTATAACTTGTAACAGTAATCAGGAAATTGCATTACTAGCACAAGTATCAACCACTGAGCTTCAAAGAAGATGAATACTCTTTGTAACCAAATTGTATTTTCAGAATGTTGTACTTAACATTGACCTTTAGGAGTAAGGAACATTTAACAATGTAAAAACACAAAAAAACCTATTATTATTGAACAAGAATATGGTAGCATAGCACAGCCCTTGTATAAATAATCACAAAATTTATGAGAATAAAAATTGGATTTTCTGCCTCCATCCAATCAAACCACTACAGTTCAGGTATATATTCTGTTCTAAACTTAGATATTATAAAACAGAAAATTGGTCCCAGTGACTTGGCATTGCCAATCAGCATTTTGTAACAATAAACCTCTTGCTAAACCACAGAAAAGAAGTCAGCACACAAGCCAGTCTTGCCACTACTTCATCTACAGTGCAGTATTAACAATCATCCTAATTAGAACTTGGCGAACAGATTCCTTTAGTCTCCTACATAATCTCCTAGAAAAAAGTTCAGAAAATTCAAAAATAAACTTACAGATTTTTATTTCTACTACTTCTTTTTATACCTGCTGGGTTTGCTTTGTCTGACATTTCAATCAACCCTACTTTAGGGTTAGAGTTTTACATTTTCAAACTGAAGCACTGGATTGTGTGGCTGATCCTCCTTATAACCTGAACTATACTGGGTAATTTTTCCCAAAAGGGCTGGGGGAGAAGAGATACATTGAGGAAAATACTTTTGGTTCAGAGAATTTATAAAGTAGCTCAGGATATTACAAGATGGGGAAAAATGTTATTAAAATTACAAACATGGGTTTTCTTAGTGTCTTTATAAATAAAAGGCATAGAATACAGAAAGCCAATTAATAATAACAATAACAATAATAAAATATTAAATATATAGTGAGCAAAGACTGAATGGCTCATTCTTGTGAAACACCATTTGACGCCATTGCCTCAATGGGTTTCCTTACTCTTAATACTTGGCTGAGTGAAAGCTCCGGCAAACACACAGTAAGCTGCCTTTAGCCCACTACTAACATCAAGGAACTGCCTGATGGAATGGCCACAGATGAACAGGTCATTTGTTTCAAAAGATACTTAAATACTCAATAAAGACATAACAAACCCCCCCCCCTCACTGTTATCAGACGCCACGTTGTGGTAGAACATCAGACAAACTCACAAATTTACCACAAAAATGTGTGGCAAAAAAGAATAGTTTATATATATGTATATATATAAATTTCTATATTTATGCCAATGTACTCACTCAGTACAAATAGCAAAATAGTATACCATTTCCTAAATACAAAATATAGCTTTCCAAAAAAATGAAACACACATTAGATATAAACCATCCAAAACTTGAACGATTGAAAACTGTATTCAAAATTAAATGACCCAGAGTAGGTCTCTTTCTGAAAAGTTCCCTTCATATCGGCAAGAAGCCTGTACTACTGAAAACATAATTCAATGCCTCTCAATCAGAGAGAGAAAGAAAGAAAGGGGTGGAGGTGGAGGGAAGAAAACATGAGAATAAAGAGAAAAAGACAACTTAAAAGGGCACATTCAAAGAACAAAGGAAGAGCATCACAGAAAAAAAAAAAAAAAAAAAAAGGAAAAATCTGGCTGTATAAACAAAACCAACACCACAATTCCACACAGTTCAACTAAATGTACAGGATAGAAAACAAAAGCAGAAAAGTAGCCTTCAACAATTAATAGGCTATTTTTTGTACACTTAAAAAATAAATGAAACGAACAAGGATACCAAAACATTATATAAACACATAGAAGCCACACACACGTTGGCCTTACACTGCATTGACAGCTTTCCACATGCTAAAAGGAAAATGAGACATAAGCATGTGTCCAGACACAGGTGGTAGTGAGAAGCAGGCATCCCATGGGTGGCAAGAACACCCATAACTGTATAACTAATGCTACAACTGCCAAGTTCTGGAGTGTTGTTTTGCTCTTTATAGATGTAACACAAGTTAATTCTTCATTTTAAGTCAATGATATGACCCCGTAAAGCCTAAGGCTTGTGGGAACCATCAGGTAAGTGACCACTTCAAACTGTAAAGCACTGAGGTGACAAGTGAATTTACACTCACTGCAGATCAGGGAGAAGTGATGTTTCAAGAAATTTTAGTTTGCCTTTTTTTTTTTTTTTTAATTGAAATTTATACTGTTTCCTATTAGAGGGAAAAATTTGAAGACTTCAGAACAGCACCGTTCATGGGGAAAAAATGTGTTGTTTCTCAGGAATCAACTCCCAATAATTCCTAAGAGAATACTCTCTGCCCTGTGCTGCAGGATTGCTAGGTCACCCTAGATTAAAGTGGCCAAAGAGGCTACAGGGTCATGAAGCCAGTAGTATATTAATAGTTCTCTAAAGTGAAAAAGAAGTGAAAAGTAAAATAGATGTATATAAAAAGGGAAAACCAGCCTAATACTGGGTTAAGAAGAAAACACTCAAATTTTTCTGTCAGTTTTAACTACTGTAGGAGGATATCAGAACATAATTTATCATATATTATCCCCTTCATTTTTAAAATAAAGATAATTATTTTTCTATGCACAGTTATGGCTAAACCCCTTAGTAGAAACCCAGAGAACAACTCTCTGAAAAAATAAAATCAATAGCATTCCAGCTGTTCCCAGTTTTATAAGTGTATCATATGCCTTTGTGTTAAATCAAGATTCCTTTTATCTGCATATACAGTTTACTTGTTAGAATGTTACCCCTTCAGTTTCTCCATAAAAACTGAAAAAAAGATTCCTTCACTGTGGCCAACAGCTGTGCCTTTTATATTGAAAAAATATGCCTTAGTTATTATTGAACTTTACTTTTTCAAAAGCCATTACTTGACTAAAACAACGCAGGAAAAAAAATAATGAAGAACAAAAGTAAACATGACATATCATTTTCTAATAGCAATAATAACTGAGTGTTCCAGCCTTGAATTTAAACTGTACTTTTAAGGAAATTACGCCTAGGAAAACAGTAACAATTAATTCTGCCAGCTGGAAACTCAAATAGATTCTCAGTCATCACTGTTATTAGGAATATAAAATATGAAGATGTTAACGTTGGTGGTTCATCACTGCAACAAGCAGCATAGGTGTGCTCTTTTGCAGTCAGAGTAAAATCTATCAATTTACTCAAATACATTTTTTCATATCTTATTTTGTTTTTAAAGTTAATAGTTCAATCATTCTCATGAAACCACAAGATCTCAGGACATCTTGGAATCAGGATTTTCTTCATGGAATTTCTAAAAAAGAGAAAAAGTTTAATGTAACTTACTAGGGAGGGAACCATTTATAAAGTTTCTGACACCCTGAATGATCCTAAAGTATATTATGGTACTATAAGTAAAACTATATTATATTCAATCTTCCACAAACTTTTCTTTTTTGAGACAGAGTCTTGCTGTCGCCCAGGCTGGAGTGCAATGGTGCGATACCGGCTCACTGCAACCTCCACCTCCCGGGTTCAAGCAATTCTCCTGCCTCAGCCTCCTGAGTACCTGGGACTACAGGCGCTACTGTTACCATGCCTGGCTAACTTTTTGTATTTTTAGTACAAAGATGGAGTTTCACCATATTGGCCAGGCTAGTCTCAAACTCCTGACATTGGAATCCGCCTGCCACGGCCTCCCAAAGTGCTAGGATTATAGGCGTGAGCCACCATGCCCAGCCCCACAGACCTTTCTGACTCAATATTTGTTTCTGGAGGAAGGGATAAATGAGGCATGATTATATCCAATACATAGTACAAAGGAAACACATTTTCCACACTCATCAGATGTTTTGTCATTCCAAGGCAAAGAAGCTCAGAGGCAGAAGGAATGTCCAATATAGGTTGAATATCCCTTACCTAAAATGCTTGGGATCACAAGTGTTTCTGACTTTTTTGGATTTTGGAATATGTACATATACACAATGAGGTATCTTGGGGATAAGACACAAGTCCAAATATGAAATTCATTTCTGTTTCATATACACCTGAAAAGATCTATCACAGCTGAAGGGGACTGGGAGAATCTTTTTTTCCCTTGGGGACACTGAATAAACTGCATGTTTTGAGCCTGCATTTTGACTATAACCCTGTCATATAAGGTCAGTTGTAGAATTTTCCACTTGAGATGTCATGTCAGTGCTCAAAAAGATTTGGATTTCAGAGCATTTCAGATTTTGCATTTTTGGACTAGGTATGCTTCCTCTGTATTAACAATATGATCATAAGCTATCATCCAGATTTTTTTTTTTTTGAGACAGAGTCTCACTCTGTCACCCAGGAGGTGTAGTGGTGTGATCTTGGCTCACTGCAACTTCCGCCTCACAGTTAAGCAATTCTCCTGCCTCAGCCTCCCAAGTAGCTGGGACTACAGGCACATGCCACCATGCCCAGCTAATTTGTGTGTGTGTGTGTGTGTGTGTGTGTGTATATATATATATATATATATTTTTTTTTAAATTGCATTTTAGGTTCTGGGGTACATGTGAAGAACATGCAGGATTGCTGCATAGGTACATACATGGCAATGTGGTTTGCTGCCTCCATACCCATCACCTATATCTGGCATTTCTCCCCATGTTATCCCTCCCAACTCCGTACCCCCCACTGTCCCTCCTCTAGTCTCCCCCACCCCCAGTTTTATATTTTTAATAGAGATGGGGTTTCACCATGTTGGCCAGGATGGTCTTGATCTCTTGACCTCGTTATCTGCCCCCTTGGCCTCCCAAAGTGCTGGGATTACAGGTGTGCGCCACTGAGCCTGGCCAGAACTAAACTATTATTACTTAACTTAAATCTGTTAAGAAGAATAAAATTTGATGCTTTTCAGTAAGAAGTCAAGATGCGGACTGGGCGCGGTGGCTCAAGCCTGTAATCCCAGCACTTTGGGAGGCCGAGGCGGGTGGATCACGAGGTCAAGAGATCGAGACCATCCTGGTTAACATGATGAAACCCCGTCTCTACTAAAAATACAAAAAATTAGCTGGGCATGGTGGTGCGTGCCTGTAATCCCAGCTATTCAGGAGGCTGAGGCAGGAGAATTGCCTGAACTCAAGAGGCGGAGGTTGCGGTGAGCCGAGATCGTGCCATTGCACTCCAGCCTGGGTAACAAGAGTGAAACTCTGTCTCAAAAAAAAAAAAAAAAAAAAAAAAAGAAGCCAAGATGCAATACTTACATATCCAGTTAAAAGGAGCCAGTCAGGTTGTTCCCTTGGTTTTGCAACGAAACAAGCAAATCAATCTTTTCAATGTTCTGGTTGGTGTTTATAGATGATGCCAGTGGAGAATTCTCTGGCATTTGCTGAGAAAGAAGTGTTGTCACAGGTGGCTGGCCCTCATTTTGTGGTTGGCCTGGCTGACTTATGGCCATCAACTGATCAGGCAATGTAGCTGGTCCAGAGGTTAAAAGCTGACTACAGTCTGCAGAGATATTGAAAATACAAGCTATCTGATTAGTAAAGATTCATGAAAAGGTATTTATTAGTTGTTGGGGAAAATTCATTACTGCATTCTCCTTGTACATTACCAAAAGTTAGGCACCTGATAGTCCAAGAAAAAGGTTTTCACAGATTGGTACTGGAATGCATCCTAGGTTTCCTTTAAGCAGTCTAAAAATACAATTTTGCTTAAATATCAAGTCACATATAAATTCCTTTGCATATAAATATTAAAGATGGGTTTCTAGCTCCTTAGAAACTACTTAAGTCAAATGGCTAAGATATTATCTGTCATTCTTACTTCATTTTCCTTTTAAGTTTATAGCTTAAAATAGCAAACATATTTTTGTACATTGCCATATTTAATCCTTCCCAAATTCACATAAAGTATGTAATATTATCACCATTTTAGATGTGACAATTGAATCCCATAAAAGCCAAATAACCTGTACAAGGTCTTATAGTCTATAGATGATAGAGTTCTAACTACAATCTGTACTCTTAAAACAACTGTACAGGCTGGGTGCGGTGGCTCACACCTGTAATCCCAGCACTTTGGGAGACTGAGGCTAGCGGATCACTTGAGGTCAGGAGTTGGAGACCAGCCTAGCCAACATAGTGAAATCCCGTCTCTAACAAAAATACAAAAATTAGCTGGGCATGGTGGTGCACACCTGTAATCCCAGCTGCTCAGGGGGCTGAGGCAGGAGAATCACTTGAACCTGGGAGGCAGAGGTTGCAGTAAGCCAAGATCGCACCACTGTACTCTATTTCCTTCTAATAATAACAATGACCAATTTAGTAATGAGAAATTAAGAGTTTCTTACTATTTTGAATGCCAAATAAGAACATTCCTGATGTCTGCTGAGATGAGCCAGGAGAATTCTGTAGTTGGTTCATTGTGCCTCCTGCTGTGTTGTGAAATAAAGCAGCCTGTGGTTGAGGCGAAGATGTGGCTCCTTGAATTCCAGGCATGTTGTTCTGAGGGGAATAAAGAGGAGACTGTTGCATATCTTGTTGATTTATACCGGTCTGCAAGGCAGACATGGAGGCTGGAGATAAGAAGAGTGTTACTTGCTGCTCTTGAGAACTAGGTGACCCTTGTACCAACTGAATCTGAGGAGAGCTATGGAACAAGGGGGTCTGTGATGATTCAGACTGGGTAGGACCTGGGTTCTGAAGTGAGGAAACTGTGGACTGACTCTGAAATTGCATGGGCTGCTGTTCTTGATTCATTGGGGCCATATTACTTTGTTGGTGAAAAATTGACTGGTTCTGTTGCTCCTGATTAGCCAGTGGATTTTGATTTGGGTTGAATATCATGTTTGGTGGTGGTTGCTTCTGAGATGCCATTGTAGCCATGGTATTCTGATTACTGAATAAAATACTCTGCTGTTGCTGCTGCTGCTGCTGTTGCTGCTGCTGCTGCTGCTGCTGCTCCTGGGATGGAGAGTTACTCTGCATGGCAACTATTGAGTGCTGTGACTGGAACATGGTTCCCTGTTGGCTTTGAGGCATTGGATTAGGTGGAAGGGAGCCCAGGGACACTTGAGGCTGAAATAAACCCTGCTGGGAGGACTGTGCCTGTTCTTGGGAAAGCATAGGAGTCTGGATGTGTGATATTGGAGCTTGCTGTTGGAAAGCAGCTTGCTGTTCAGTGTTTGATGTTGACTGAAGTGGAGAAATTGAGTTTGGTGCTGCAAAAAATGAAATCTGTTCTTCTTGGGCTACTGTGTTAGTCTGAAGATTACTCATAGGACTCTGGGAAAGAAATATGTTGGCTGACTGCTGGTCTTGAGAAACTGAAGAGCCCTGTAACACAGCAATGGTATTTTGAGAATGAAACATTGGAGGCTGCATTTGTTCAGAGGAAGTTGTAGAAGTCTGACTGTGGACAATAGGATTTGGATTATGAAAAATAGAACCTTGAGTTTCCTGGGAAAGGTTCTGAGCATCAGCAATAGGATTTTGAGGATGAAAAAGCTGGGCCTGTGAATGGGAAGACTGCTGCAAAAAATTTCCAGATTGAAGTGACATCATCTCATTCCCTTGCTGGAATAAACCATTACCTTGTTGCTGTGTACCACTATTCTGAACACTCATCATACTTTTTGTGGACGAAAAAAGGTTAACTTGAGGTTGACTGTCCCCACTATGTTGCATTTGGACCATTGTCTGAAACACACTGTTCTGAATCTGTTTTGCTTGTGTTCCAGTTTCTTCTCCATCTCCTGAACTTGGTGTCTGAAACATGGTAGTGCCAGGGGTTGCAACCTGCTGTGTGGTGGTTGTAGAAGTTTCATTTCCAGAAACTGCAGGAGGAGAAGAAAACAATTCACACTGCATTTGCATATCCTCACTGGTAGACAATGCACTCATCATGTGAGAAGTCTGCTGGTAAACTGGTGATTGCTGAAGGTTTCCATTTGCTGAAGCAGTTGAAGGGAATAACTCTGACTGAATCTGGGCAGCTGCCTGGCAGATACTCTGTTGCATCTCCATCACCATTGCGGCTGAAGATTCCATCACTTGCTGTTGCTGCTGCTGCTGCTGTTGATTAGATAACGTGTTTTCAGACTGTGGATGAACACTTTCAGCTCTTCCAGGTAATAAATTATCTGGTCTGGTATGGACTGTTGGCTCTGTTGAGGAAAACATTCCAGGGCTTACACCACTTTGAATTTGACTGACTTGTTGAAAAATGTCTGCACTAAGCTGCTCTTGAACATTCTCATTACCATCTGGAGCAGAAAATAAAACTGAAGATAACTGTTGCTGTGCCTCTAAAACTTGCTGGACCAAGTCAACACTTCCACTGCTGCCACTAGCAGTACTGCCTGTAAAACTCCCTGCTTGCAACTGCTGAATAGTATTCTGAAGCTGACTCACACTATTTGGTGATGGAAAAATATTTGATGAAATCTGCTGCTGTAAAGTCTGTGCTTGTTCTTGTAGTGGTGACTGCTGCTGTTGTGACGCCTCAGTCAGTTGTGACAAATTAACCACTGTGCCATCTGACTGTAATACCTCTCTAGACTGAGTTTCTCTTGTCTGAAACTGTGTAGCCTGCTGCAATAGAGCATCGCTGTTGGGCAGCTGACTAGAAGCAGAAACTGCTGGAAAAGTACCAGGCTGTGAGATGTCCTGGGTTTGAATAGTTGTCAGGGTCTCTGGGTTGTAAGCCTTGGGCTGAATCTGCTGCTGTTTTTCATTTTCTGAAGGCAGGTGGGAAGATGACGGTGATGAAAAAGAGCCATTTCCTGCTATGTTTGAGATGTTTTCTAATGTTTGCTGAGTTGATCCAACTGTGTTTGTAGTCTAAAAAATAAAAATCCCCAAATAACATGAAAATGTAAACATTAAATAAATTTGTAACATACATCAAAAATCACTACCATTCTAAAAATATATGCAGGATCAGTTTTCCACTCTATTATTATTATTATTATTTAGAAAACAGGTGTGGGACTATGATTCTCCATAACATGATGTCTCATTGTCCTTGGGATGTATTTTTAAAAAGTACTATAAGCAAATATAGTCAAACAAGGAAGTAGAAAATCAGCTACTGATGTGCTTAGGTGAATTAAGGGTAATCAGAACACATTAATTTTATGGTTCATGAAGGGCAGGTATCAAAATATCTCAAACGTGCAGCTCAACAGTAACATCACAGGGGAGAAGACAAGTATAAAAAAAGAAATAGGGAGTCATGAGAAAAGACTGGGAAAAAAAGAAAAACATCTCTAATTCTGAAAATGCTAAAATTAGTATTTTCATTAATATCTCATATAACATATTCATTCCTCCCTTGTCAAAATGCATATTGGAAAGCATTCCCGCTTTAGAGCAAAATTCATTAAGTGCATCCAAAGCAAAAACAATTTGAAAAAAATAGGAAAAGTTAAAGATAGCAATTTTTATACAGGAGGTTAGAAGTTGGGGCACTAGTCAATACAGCTTACCTTGAAAATAGTGGAAGATCTTTTTTCTGCTGTTACTTCCATTGGAGTAACATCTTCACTCTTAATCATACTGCTTGGTATGAGTGGAGTGATCAGGGCATTAGGAATAATATTTACCTTATCTAAATTACATCCAGTAGTCTTCATTGCTGCATACAAACATACAAAAAAGAAAAGTTTAAAAACCAGAAAAATTTCCAACTATTGCATTCTAAAATTTGTTAGTTATAATTTAAATGCTTTTTTTTTTTTTTTGAGATGGAATGTCGTTCTTGTTGCCCAGGCAGGAGAGCAATGGCACGATCTTGGCTCACCACAACCTCCATCTGCTGGGTTCAAGTGATTCTCCTGCCTCAGCCTCCCGAGTATCTGCTAATTTTGTATTTTTGTAGAGATGGGGTTTCTCCATGTTGGTCAGGCTGGTCTCGAACTCCTGATCTCAGGTGATCCGCCCACCTCGGCCTCCCAACGTGCTGGGATACAGGCATGAGCCACCACATCTGCCCAGTTATAGATTTATATCTAGAGGCAACATATAGCAAGATTCTACCACTTCTCCATATCTACTTTTCCCCTTGATTGCTTTTTTTTCTTCTTTTTTGTCTACCTGAATCCACAGTGGCACTCAGTGATGCCTACTGCTATTGCTAATGATAGTCCCCTGAGCTAAGCACATAGCCAAATCCTGATTTAAAAGTGTACTACTACATTGTGGCTCTATGGAAAGAGTCTTCAGAAAGCACATAATCTGATATCGAGAAGAAATCCTGGCTATAAAGAAAGTTTTTAAATGGCACATGGTACATGAGTTGGATAGCTCCCTTCATAAATTTTTGTTGTTGTTAGTCAATATTCTGCTGAAAGGCCAAGTGTGGTGGCTCATGCCAGTAATCCCAGCACCTTGGGAGGCCAAGGCAGGTGGATTACTTGAGGCCAAGAGTTTGAGACCAGCCCAGCTGACAATGGTGACTCTGTCTCTACCAAAAATACAAAAAATTAGCAGGGCATGGTGGCACATGCCTATAATCCCAGCCACTTGGGATGCTGAGGCACAAGAATCGCTTGAACCCAGGAGATGGAGGTTGCAGTGAGATGAGATTTCTCTACCATACTGCAGGTTGGGCAACAGAGCAAGATTCTGTCTGAAAAATATATATATATATCTGCTGAAAGTAAATATTTTCATCTAAAAATATTGTCATTTTTCTTGTCTTACTTCAACTTGCCTCACAGCCATTTGGCTAAAAACATAATTCCTATGAAAACTGATTATTCTGACAGAGGGGAAAGTGCTCATTTAACTTCTGACATTCCATATTTTATTATTCTACCTAAGTAGTTTGAGAAATGAATCATTTATTAATGAGTTCTTTGGACCTATTTTCCTCTAAATTCTAATACCAATACAATTCTCCTAACAACCAGATTTTTATTTTATTTTATTTTGAGACAGGGTCTCTGCTGGTGGGAGTGCAGTAGTGCGATCAGGCCTCACTGCAACCTCCACCTCCTGGGCTCAAGCAATCCTCCCACCTCAGCCCCCTAAGTAGCTGGGACAACAGGCATGTACCACCCTGCCTGACTAATTTTTTTATTTTTTGTAGAGGCAAAAGTCTCATCATGTTGCCTAGGCTGGTCTCGAACCTCTGTACTCAAGCGATCCCCACCTCTAGGTCTCCCAAAGTACTGAGATTATAGGCATGAGCCACCACACTCAGCCTACAACCTAATTTTGACTGAGACAAAACATCAGATCATGCACAGGGCAGGCATTTAAAAGTAACCTAAGAATATCCCATAGGACACCTTGAAAAACCGTAAGTGTTATCTTAAGTTGATCCTGTAATATTCAACTACTATTCTTGCTTTTGAATTCCATTAGATTATGAGCTCTGTGAAGGAAGAGATATTGTTGTTATTGCCTGTTGCACAGCCGGTAGTCAACAAATGTTTGCTGAATGAATGAAGAAAATGGTCTTACTTTTAGCTTTATCACTATCAATTTAGTTTGTTATAGGTTATTTGATTAATCCTATAAAAATAAAAATATGGGCTGGTTATGGTGGCTCACACCCGTAATCTCAGCACTCTTAGAGGCTGAGGCACGCAGCTCACTTGAGGTCAGGAGTTCGACACCAGCCTGGCAAACATGGCAAACCCCATCTCTACTAAAAATACAAAAAAGAAAATTAGCTGGGTGTGGTGGCAAACACCTGTAATCCCAGCTACTCGAGAGGCTGAGGCAGTAGAACTGCTTGAACCCGGGAGGTGGAGGTTGCGGTGAGCTGAGACTGTGCCACTGCATTCCAGCCTTGGTGACAGAACAAGACTCTGTCTCAAAAAATAATAATAATATAAAAGTAAAAATATACAGTCTATATTTTTCTTTTTAAAAATATTTATGTGTTTATTTATTCATTCATTCACTCATTCATTCATTCAATTAGAGACAGGGTCTTACTCTGTTACCCAGGCTGGAGTGTACTACCTGCAGCCTCAAACTCCTGGGCTCAAGTGATCCTCCCACCTCAGTCTCCTGAGTAGTTAGGATTATCGGCAGTAGCCACTGCGCCTGGCTTATATTTTTATTAACACTATATTTGGTCTGAAAATGTCAATATCTATGGACAAGATTATAATTCAATTAGAAATTACATATAAATAAATAAATAAGCTATACAGTTACTGTTTAACAGATCTACAATTTTTCTTAAAATGTATTGAGATAGTAATGCTTATTATCTTCTCCCCCTTTCTGGAAAGCAAGACTAGGTAGAGTAAGTTGAGCAAGAGTCTTTTACCTATCCTCAGTTGACCACTGACAAGTATGTCTACTGGTAAAGACAAAGAGTAAGAGGACATTTAGTCTAATGCTCACGCAAAGATACAAGTCTTTCCATGGCCATACATACTAAAGTCACAAAGGTTAATTTTATTTATGGTTCCAATCTTTTTTTTTTTTTTTTTCAGAGTCTCACTCTGTCACCCAGGCTGGTGTGCAGTGGAGCAATCTGGGCTCACTACAACCTTTGCCTCCTGGGTTCAAATGATTCTCCTGCTTCAGCCTTCCGAGTAGCTTTTTACAGGCACACGTCACCATGCCCAGGTAATTTTTGTATTTTTAGTAGAGATGGGGTTTTGCCATGTCGACCAGGTAGGTCTCAAACCCTTGACCTCAGGTGATCCACTGCCTTGGCCTCCCAAAGTGCTGGGATGATAGGCATGAGCCACTGCGTCCAGCCTTGTTCCAATTTTATCTAAGTCTAGTCCCACAAAAAACAGTCCAAAGTCATTCCTGGTCAGACATTAAGTTTGTCAGATATGTTCCATCTTGTTAATTTAATAATAATCTTCTAGCCAACTTCAATTTAGTAGTACATTTTAAATGTAAACATCAGATTGATTTTTTTCTCCTCCTAAGAATTAATTTGCTCTAAGATATATAATATATATTAATTTATAAATTAATATATATAATATATATTAATTTGCTCTTATATATATAAACATATTCAGTAAGAAAAGTATCAAACTGGAAGACAAGTCTCTACATTTAATAAAGTTAAACAAATATTTATTTTACAATATAGAGGTTGCCCTGCAGTGTTCTAAGTACCTAAGAAAACAAAATAGTAAGGTGTATTAGAGAAAACATACAGGAGCATCTAATTACAAGTTTTGAGAATAATTAACTTGGTACCTTTCATGGCCTCTTCAAAAGAGCAAGGTCTTGCTGGACTAGATATTTCCTTCTTCACATTTACATTCAAAGCACTAGCTGCTGCTATTAAAAAAAAGATGAATATATTTATTTACATTTATTCATCCTAAAAAACTTACATCTTAAAATTCTTTAATTAGAATATCTTATCACAAGGTATCATGTAATTATTTGTTTAGCAAAAGTTCTAGTTGAAGTAAATTTCTATCCTCTAAATTCTCCAATCTCCAAGTGAGCAGAGCATATGATTACTTAGCAAAACAAAACCAGGCTGGATGCAGTGGCTCATATGTGTAATCCAGCATTTGGGAGGCCACCTTCCTAAAGGTGGCCCAAACCTCAAGGTGGATGACGATTACGTGAGGTCAGAAGTTCAAGACCAGCCTGACTAACATGATGAAATCCTGTCTCTACTAAAAATACAAAATTAGCCAGGCGTGGTGGCACACACCTATAACCCCAGCTACTCGGGAGGCTGAGGCAGGAGAATCACTTGAACCTGGGAGGTAGAAGTTGCAGTGAGCTGAGATCCTGTCATCGCATTCCACCCTGGGCAACAAGAGCGAAACTCCATCTCAAAACAACAACAACAACAATAAAAACCAAAAAATAAAATAGCAATAAAAAAAAATCCTTCTTGTAACAATATATGCTGATGATATCAGATGAGTAGATTGATATAAGAAAATCAAATATTTAAAACATTAAGTAAACTAGAACGCTAGCAACAGAGAAATCCATCATTCACCTATAAATGATTTATTTAAAAATATGGATTCAGAAGCATTAGTCAAGTAATGCACTACTAAATTAAGTGGGATGAAAATACTGAATTTATAATATAATTACTCCTTGTGTAACACCTTAAAAAATATCTTCGCTAGTATTAATGGAGAATTGCTGGGCTACCATATCTAGTCATATCAATTATATCTACTATAACAATTTTTTTATTTTTTGAGACACAGTCTTGCTCTGTTGCCCAGGAGTGCAGTGGCATGATCTTGGCTCACTGCAACCCCCGCCTCCCGGGTTCAAGCTATTCTCCTGCCTCAGCCACCGGAGTAGCTGGGATTTTAGGTATACAACACCATGCAAGGCTAATTTTTTTTTTTAAACAAATTTAAACAATAAAGTTAATGGGCCTAAGAATATAAATCAGTTCTAAACAATAAATTACAAATAAATTGGTTCTTGCTTCAAATGATTATATATTTTATTTGAATACATTTCAATTTCTTTTCTTATGAGACAGAGTCTGGGGCTCTGTCACCCAGGCTGGAGTACAGTGGCATGGTCTCAGCTCACTGCAACTTCTAAATCCCGGGCTCAAGTTACCACCCACCTCAGCCTCCTGAGTAGCTGGAACTACAGGTGCACACCACCACAACAGGCTAATTTTTATATTTTTGGTAGAGATGGTGTTTTGCCACGTTGCCCAGGCTGGTCTCAAATTCCTGAGCTCAAGCTATCTGCCCATCTTAGACTCCCAAAGTACTGGGATTACAGGCATAAACTACCATGCCCGGCCTTAATTTCTATTTTTCTTTTCCTTTCCTTTTTTTTTTTTTGAGACGAAGTTTTACTCTTGTTGCCCAGGCTGGAGTGCAATGGTGTAATCTTGGCTCACTGCAACCTCTGCCTCCTGGGTTCAAGTGATTCTTCTACCTCAGCCTCCAGAATAGCTGCGATTACAGGCATGTGCCAACATGCCTTGCTAATTTTATATTTTTAGTAGAGATGGGGTTTCTCCATGTTGGTCAGGCCAGTCTTGAACTCCCAACCTCAAGTGATCCACATACCTTGGCCTCCCAAAGTGCTGGAATTACAGGTGTGAGTCACCATGCCTGGCCAATTTCTATTTTTCAGTATGTTTATTTTATATTTTCTAACATGTCAAATGATAGTTGTAACTAAATGAATAAAGAGAGAAATCTGTACACATCTCCTGAGAATGAAGTAATTTATGTTAATATGTTTCATAGTAGGTCTAACAAATGATTTATAGGCAACTGAATGAAAAAATACACATAAAATATTTATGCATGAGGCCGGGCGCGGTGGCTCAAGCCTGTAATCCCAGCACTTTGGGAGGCCGAGGCAGGTGGATCACGAGGTCGAGAGAGCGAGACCATCCTGGTCAACATGGTGAAACCCCGTCTCTACTAAAAATACAAAAAAACTAGCTGGGTGTGGTGGCGCGTGCCTGTAATCCTAGCTACTTAGGAGGCTGAGGCAGGAGAACTGCCTGAGCCCAGGAGGCGGAGGTTGCGATGAGCCGAGATCACACCATTGCACTCCAGCCTGGGTAACAAGAGCGAAACTCCGTCTCAAAAAAAAAAAAAAAAAAAAAAAAAAAATTTATGCATGATATTAATTCCAGTCACTATAGATTTAAAAATACAAATTAATCCTTGAAAAATTTTAAATTTCTACTTTTTAAAATCAAGTTATTAGTTATTTAAAATTCTTCTTATTCTTTTTTTGAGACAGGTTCTTGCTCTGTTATCCAGGCTGGAATACAGTGGCATAATCATGGATCATTGCAGCCTCAGCCTCTCAGGCTCAAGCGATCCTCCCATCTCAGTCTCCTGAGGAGCTGGGACTACAGGCACATGCCAGCACTCCCAGCTTATTATTATTTTTTTCTTTGTAAGGATGGGGGTCTCACTATGTTGCCCAGGCTAGTCTTGAACCCCTGGGCTCAAGTGATCCTCCTGCCTCAGCCTCCTGAAATGTCAGGATCACAGATATGAGCCCCCTCATCCAGCCAGTACTTTCTTTTTAGAAAAACAGAAAAAGATGTTAAATATTATATCCCCGTTTCTTACAGAAATCACCACTGCAGAGTTACAGCAAATAATGTCTAGTGTGATTTCTGTGTCTGAATAGGCTGAAGTAAAAAAAAATTAAAGATGTTTTAATGCCTAAGCAAAGCTTCAGAGACTATGAATAAAACAAAGATTTTATGGCTCTGCAAAGTACTTAAGTGCTTGAGAGCATACACATTTTGATTTGGGGCAGTATGGCTCCACTGGGTGTCAGAAGGTCTGTACCGGGAAGAATGTATGGAACCAGGATACGTTCAGTTGAACCTCTGCCCTGACCTTACCTTTAGACCATGTAACAAGCACACAGGATGCCCAGATTTTCTGTACAACTAACCTAGATTTTGTGAGCACTCTTAGGCCTATTAGGTGGAAGCACTGATCAGTGGAGCCAAAAAGTGGCAAAAGGAGGGTGGCAGGTAGGGATGCTCTCTCCTTATGCTGCCATATTCCAGCTTAGAACTCAAATTTGTTTGAAAATTCTAAATTCAAATCTGGCCTCTCATATTGCTGTGAGTGTATTTTGGTCAAATTTCACTTAATGATTTGTTAGTTTTATTTATAACTTGTAAGTATTTCAACAAATAGTATTAACAGTCACCACTTCTACTCCAAACTGTAAATATCAGGATGGACCTTGTTTTGGCTGCACTATTGAATAATGAAATATTTAACAATAGTCCCTAAATAAATCACAACAGCTATTAGTTTGTCACACTGAGATAGGCCTTTTTCTGTGCCCAAGTTTTCCTGAAATCATATTCTCTCTTATGGACACATGAAAAGATTGTCACATTATATAAAATACAAAAAAGTAAAACTGTGGTTCATGCCTGTAATCCCAACACTTTGGGAGGCTGAGGTGGGTGGATCACTTGAGGTCAGGAGTCTGAGAACAGCCTGGCCAACATGGTGAAACTCTGTCTCTACTAAAAATACAAAAATTAGCCAGGCATGGTGGTGGGTGCCTGTAATCCCAGCTACTTGGGAGGCTGAGACAGGAGAATCACTTGAACCCAGGAGGTGGAAGTTGCAGTGAGCTGAGGCTGCACCACTGCACTCCAGCCTGGGTGACAAAGTGAGACTCTGTCTCAAAAAAAAAAAAAAAAAAAGTAAAATTGTGGGAAGATTAATTAGCTGAATTATAAAGGCAGAAACTACAGCATTAGATTGTATTACAAAGTTTGCATACCTTATATTTATTCAAACAAGATTTTCTAAGAGTGATTGTTATCTGTAACATACAAAGTATGTTGGGGGCAAACTTGAAAGAGCAAACATATGGTAATGATTACCTAAGAATGGCCAAAAGTAGGCAATAGTATAGCCTTTGAAGTAGAATACTTAAAAGCTGTTTATTCAGCAATTTATCGAAGGGCAATTCTAATAATTAGCATTTATCAATAAAAAATAAGGATTCTTAGTGTTGATGCTAAGTACTTCAAAGTCCTGAAATCTCTATAATTAATCAATAAAACAAAGAAACAAGTGAAAACAAGAAAATCTCAGTGTTTTCAGAATGGCGAAACCTTTAAGGCTATTCCCTGACATAAACTCTTTCCCTTCTAACACAACTGGAGCAGAAGCTCATCAGGAAACAAATTCTATGTATTAATTACACTATCTTTCTTCTTATATTTGTGCAAGCTCTGGCAAAACAATAAATGTCAATATTCAGTAACTAACAGTTACTAAAATGCTTTACCATTGATTTTTTTTTTTTTTTTTTTGAGACAGTTTCGCTTTTGTTACCCAGGCTGGAGTGCAATGGCGTGATCTTGGCTCACTGCAACCTCCGCCTCCTGGGTTCAGGCAATTCTCCTGCCTCAGCCTCCTGAGTAGTTGGGATTACAGGCACGCACCACCATGCCCAGCTAATTTTTTTGTATTTTTAGTAGAGACGGGGTTTCACCATGTTGACCAGGATGGTCTCGATCTCTTGACCTCGTGATTCACCCGCCTCGGCCTCCCAAAGTGCTGGGATTACAGGCGTGAGCCACGGCGCCCGGCCTAAAATGCTTTACCATTGATTTTAAACCAAATTTCCTTGGATGTCTGAAGCCTTCCTAAAATGGAAACAATAAAATATTTGGTCTTTGAGAATAAGTCAGTACTCTTTCTATTTTTGTTGAAGCCAGAATATTATTTCTAGACTTTAAGGTTTTCACACATGATCTTTAATTCTGAAACAAATATCAAGGGCTTTTTTTTTTTTTTGGTGACAAAGTCTCACTCTGTCACCCAGCCTAGGTGTGATCTCGGCTCACTGCAACTTCTACCTCCCAGGTTCAAGAGATTCTCTTGTCTCAGCCTCCCAAGTAGCTGGGACTACAGGTGCCCACCACCACATCTGACTAATTTTTGTATTTTTGGTAGAGAGGGGGTTTCACCATGTTGGTCAGGGTAGTCTTGAATTCCTGGCCTCAAGTGATCTGCTGGCCTCGGACTCCCCAAGTGCTATAATTATGGGCATGAGCTATTTTAATAGTGCAGTACTGTGGTATTACCTTTTGTAGCAAATCAGGAGAAAATAATGTTGCAAAATTCAGATATGATAAAGAAAATAGGAGGCCAGGAGCGGTGACTCACACCTGTAATCCCTTGAAAGGCCGAGGTGGGCAGATCATCTGAGGTGAGGGGTTCGAGATCACCCTGGCCAACATGGCAAAATCCCATCTCTACTAACAAAAATTAGCCACATGTGTTTGTCCATGCCTGTAGTGCCAGCTGCTCAGGAGAGGCTGAAGTAGAAGAATCTCTTGAACTTGGGAGGCGGAGGTTGCAGTGAGCCGAGATCACGCCACTACACTCCAGCCTGGGTAACAGAGCAAGACTCTGTCTCAAAAAAAAGAAAAGTAAAGAAAATAGGGAATAGAAAAATTAAGTGACAGAAAGCAATTAACTAAAACTAATTGTTAACTCTGTCCTAGATACTCTTTTCTTTACTTTTTGATGCAAGGGCTTGCTTTCTCTGTCACCTTTCTTTACCTTCTACCTCCCTGGATCTTGAGCTACATGGAAATAACATACCAATAAACTAAGATATAGAAGATGAGCTAATTCTGAAGTATGCCTGAGAATGGTTTGCACTGAACCAATGGTAAACATGGGAGAAGCCAAGCCTAGATCAATGGAGCATGCAAAGAGTCTCCATTTCCAAAATGTTCTCCCCATTTCTGCCAAAAGGAGGTTTTTTTTTCTTTTTCAGGCATCTAAATGAATGCAAGCAACTAACTTGTGAGACTTCATAGTCAGATCTTTCAAACTTTCAACATTTTAGGGTTGGGGGTGGTGGCTCACCCCCTGTAATCCCAGTACTTTGGGAGGTGGGTGGATTGCCTGATGTCAGGAGTTTGAGGTCAGCCTGGCTAACATAGTGAAAACTCTTCTCTATTAAAAATACAAAAATTAGCTGGGCGTAGCTGCACACGCCTGTAGTCCCAGCTACTCAGGAGGCTGAGGCAGGAGAATTGCTTAAACCTAGGAGGCGGAGATTGCAGTGAGCCGAGATCACACCACTGCACTCCAGTCTGGGTCACAGAGCAAGACTCCGTCTCCCCAAAAAAAAAACCAAATAACAAAAAAAAATTTTAGTTCCTCTGACTTCTAAAATTGTGTGTGTGCGTGTGTGTGTGCGTGTGTTTGTGTGTGTGTGTGTGTGTGTGTGTGTGTGTGTGGTGTGTGTTTGCTGTTTTTGATACAGAGTATCACTCCATCGCCCAGGCTGGAGTGCAATGGCGTCATCTCGGCTCATTGCAACCTCCGTCTCCTGGGTTTAAGCAATTCTCCTGCCTCAGCCTCCCAAATAGCTGGGATTACAGGTTCCAATCACTATGCCCAGTTAATTTTTTCTTTTTTCTTTTTTTTTTTGGTATTTTTAGTAGAGAGAGGGTTTTGCTATGTTGGCCAGCCTGGTCTTGAACCCCAGACCTCAGGTGATCCACCTGCCTCAGCCTCCCAGAGTGCTGAGATTACAGGTGTGAACCACTGCGCATCTGGCCTAAAATATTTTAACCCAACCACTTAAAGTTATATTTAAAATATTTGTCAGGTATTACGGGCAATATAGAAACAAAAAAATATTTATTCACCATCAGTCTTGGAGATTTTTTATTTTAGCACTTGTCACTCTCGAAATGTACCCTATAAACCAGCCAAACTAAACTGTTCGCAATTTCCCAAAGTTGTTACTTTCACTTTTCTGCACACAAGCAGTAGTCAATGCATGGAAATTCTGTAAGACTGCTTCAGACAGTCTGACTTCAGAGCATTCCTGGCTTTTATTATTATAGTATAAGGTAGAAATGATTCCTTAACATACGAGTAAAAGCAGTATTTGGTGGCTGTCTTCTTCTTAGGAAATAATGTCATTTCCAAAAGAAACTAATATCAATGCATCTTAGCGAGCAACTTGCTTTTTGGATGGCTAGTTGTCTTCATATTCTTTCAAAAAGCTGGAAATTAATTATTTATCTTAGTTCTTAATTTTTCATTTTGACATACCTGGGTCTGGAGTATAAGTGAATGGTTGAACATCATGAGATCTTCCAGCATTTGTCACTACATATATTCCCACTGATACAGGCAAAGTTATATGTTGATCATGATAGGGGGGAACCTTCACAATAAGATGATTCTAATATAAAGAAAAGTACAAGAGTTGGAAAATATTTTTAAAAAATTAAATTAAGTATATTTCATGTTAGCTATAAAGTTTAAAAAGTGACTTATTTTTTTTTTCCTTTTTTTTTTTTTTTTTTGAGACGGAGTTTCGCTCTTGTTACCCAGGCTGGAGTGCAATGGCGCGATCTCGGCTCACCGCAACCTCCGCCTCCTGGGTTCAGGCAATTCTCCTGCCTCAGCCTCCTGAGTAGCTGGGATTACAGGCATGCGCCACCATGCCCAGCTAATTTTTTGTATTTTTAGTAGAGGCGGGGTTTCACCATGTTGACCAGGATGGTCTCGATCTCTTGACCTCGTGATCCACCCGCCTCAGCCTCCCAAAGTGCTGGGATTACAGGCTTGAGCCACCGCGCCCAGCTTTCCTTTTTTTTTTTAAATAGAGATGAGGTTTCACCATATTGGTCAGGCTGGTCTCGAACTGCTGACCTCAGGTGATCCACTCCCCTCGGCCTCCCAAAGTGCTGGGATTACAGGCGTGAGCCACCATGCCCGGCCTAAAGAGTGCTTTTTTTTTTTTTTTTAAAGAATGTATCTTAAGGTTCAGGGTCACAGGCATCAGGATATTAATCTTAAGACAGTTTTTAAGTAAAATCCAAGTGTTTTACAATGGCTTACAAGGTCAAGATCCCTGCCCTGTCAACTTCATGTCATTCCCGCTCTTCTAGCTCACTATAGACACATTGACCTTAGTCTTCTTTTAACATACTAAACTCAGTTTTACCTCAGATTCTGTTTGTTATTCTTTTCAACTGTAATATTCTTCCCTTACCTCCTCAAATGGTGAGTTCCTAACCCATTATCAGGTCTGATACAAATGTCACCTCAGAGAAGCCTTCCCTGATCATCCTATTCAAAGCAGTACCCCTCCCCATGCTTATAATCTTATTTATTTCCAATAATAGCACGTATCATCACCTGAAATTACTCTGTTTGGTTGATTTTTGGTTTCTCTCCAACCATAAGAATTTAAGTTCCATGAGGATCTAGGCTGTTTTGTTCTTTACTCTGTCTCACTTGTAAAGAATAGTACCTTACATAAAATATACACAATTATGTTAATTGAATAAAACAATGACTTATGAAAAAAAACATATGCCTACCAAGGGCAAAGTCAGTTACCATATATTCTGTACAACCTCATTGTGAGATGTACTTCACAATGCAGTTCACTACTCCTAACCACATAATTCTCATTTTAAGTCAAACTGGGTTCAGTTTATCCACATCTCAGTAAACCAAAGATATTTTTAGTTGGAATAGTGGCAGAAGCATCCTTATAAGAGAAAGGTAGAATTCATAAACGTTTCACCAGTACTTACCCAAGGGGATTATATCTTCTTAGCTAGTAACATGAACCATATTTGACTTTTTTCTTCTTCCCTAGCTTATTATAATGGTAAGGGATATTACCATTATAGTGATTACGCTTTTTTACTAATGAACTGATTTGCAGGAGGCCAAAGCTGACAGCTGAGGGTGATGTGAATTTGATGACATTTTAAATTAAGTTAGACTATATAGTTGGTTGACTCAGTTGAACAGAAAACATGCGACAAATGAGATTAAGGTCAAGGTTTCCAAGGTTTCCATTTCTGAGAATTTAATTTGTTACTGAGCCATCTTAAAACACTCTCTGAAATACAGTCACATTATAAATAAAGAACTAGGCCGGGTGCAGTGGCTCATGCCTGTAATCCCAGCACTTTGGGAGGTGGGTGGATCACTTAAGGTCAGGAGTTTAAGACCAGCCTGGCTAACATGGTAAAACCCTGTTTTTACTAAAAATACAAAAAATTAGCCGGGCATGGTGGTGTGCACCTCTAATCCCAGCTACTTCAGAGGCTCAGGCAGGAGAATTGCTTGAGCTCGGGAGGCAGAGGTTGCAGTAAGACAAGATGGCGCCACTGTACTCCAGCTTGGGCAGCAAGAGCGAAAAACAAAGGAAATGAAGAAACAAAGGATTGGCCGGGCGCGGTGGCTCAAGCCTGTAATCCCAGCACTTTGGGAGGCCGAGGTGGGTGGATCACGAGGTCAAGAGATCGAGACCATCCTGCTCAACATGGTGAAACCCCGTCTCTACTAAAAATACTAAAAATTAGCTGGGCATTGTGGCATGTGCCTGTAATCCCAGCTACTCGGGAGGCTGAGGCAGGAGAATTGCCTGAACCCAGGAGGCGGAGTTGCGGTGAGCCGAGATCGTGCCATTGCACTCCAGCCTGGGCAACAAGAGCGAAACTCCGTCTCAAAAAAAAAAAAAAAAAGAAACAAAGGATGAAAGGAGGAAAGAAAGAAAAGGAAAGAAAAGAGGGAGGGAAGGAGGGAGGGAGGAAAGGAGAAAAGGAAGGAAGGAAGGAAGGAAGGAAAGGCAGGCAGGCAGGGAGGCAGGCAGGCAGCCAGCCAGGCATGGTGGTTCACGCTTGTAATCCCAGCACTTTGGGAGGCTGAGGCCGGCGGATCACAAGGTCAGGAGTTTGAGACCATCCTGGCTAACTTGGTGAAACCCCCCATCTCGACTAAAAATACAAAAAATTAGCTGGGCGTGGTGGCACATGCTTGTAGTCCCAGCTACTAGGGAGGCTGAGGCAGGAGAATTGCTTGTACCTGGGAGGCGGAGGTTGCAGTGAGCCAAGATTGTGTCACTGCACTCCAGTTTGGGAGACAGAGTGAGACTCTGTCTCAAAAAACAAAAACAAAAACAAAAAAAGAAGGAAGGAACGAAGGGAAGGAGGGAGGGAGACAGGCCAGAAAGAAAGACAAAAAGAGAAAGAAAAAAGATAAAGAAGAAAGAAAGAAAGAATGAATGAACTGGCTAGCTTCTAATTTGCGGCATTAACAGAATGCCTCCTAAGATATCCATCTCAAAAAAAGAAAACACATTCTTTTAAACTAGGTGGAAAACCATGTACAAATATGCATAAATCCACATTATGAGGCAGGAGCTATATCTAAACGCATACAAGCTCATAAAAAAATGTACTGGTATTGATCAAATTTCTAAGAAACAGAGTTACTAAATCTTGTCTACCCTCATTTTTACTCAGTTGTTGAGGCAGTCTACCTAGAGTTAAGGAGATCGGTGGATGAACAGCTTGTGAGAGCTTCCACTCTTAAAATTACTTGGCAAACTCCATAATTAAAATTATTCTTTTAAATAGAAACTTTTTTCTTGCCAATTAGTAACAGGATTAGTATCTGAAAATCAGAAGCATATTTTTTTTTTTTTTTTTTTTTTTTTTTTTTTTTTTTTGAGACGGGGTTTCGCTCTTGTTACCCAGGCTGGAGTGCAATGGCACGATCTCGGCTCACCGCAACCTCCGCCCCCTGGGTTCAGGCAATTCTCCTGCCTCAGCCTCCTGAGTAGCTGGGATTACAGGCACGCGCCACCATGCCCAGCTAATTTTTGTATTTTTAGTAGAGACGGGGTTTCACCATGTTGACCAGGATGGTCTCGATCTCTCGACCTCGTGATCCACCCGCCTCGGCCTCCCAAAGTGCTGGGATTACAGGCTTGAGCCACCGCGCCCGGCGCCAGAAGCATATTTTATCAAAATACTTTTACTCCACTTGCTTTGGAGAGCATATTTAAGTAAAACTGATTTGAAGCCTTTTAAAAACCAAACGAGCCTATTTTGCTACTAATTCTTCAAAGTTCCTGAATCTGAATCTAAAAATTCTACAACTGATCTGAATTAAAAATTAGGTAACTGTGACTCATGATCAAAAGCTTTTTTTTTTTTTTTTTTTTTTTTTTTTGAAATGGAGTCTCACTCTGTTGCCAGGCTGGAGTGCAGTGGCTGATCTCAGATCACTGCAGCCTCTGTCTCCTGGAATTAAGTGATTCTCTTAATTCCCTTGCCCAGCTAATTTTTAAAAAATTTTTAGTAGACACAGGGTTTCACCATGTTGGCCAGGACAGTCTCGGTCTCTTGACCTCGTGATCTGCCCATCTCAGCCTCCCAAAGTGCTGGGATTATAGGCATAAGCCACCATGCCTGGCAAAGCTATTTTCAATACTCTTGTCATAAATTAGGTCAATTAACCATCGCTGAGCTAGGAATACAATATATACAAAACATACAAAGGGTTAGGAGGCGTTTGGAGCAGGTATAAGGCTCTTTGGGATAAAAAGAGGAAAACAGTTGAATTTTAATTTCTTTTTTTCCAAGATGGGGTTTTACCCTATTGGTCAGGCTGGTCTCAAACTCCTAACCTCAGGTGATCCGCCCGCCTCAGCCTCCCAAAGTGCTGGGATTACATGCATGAGCCACTGCGCCCGGTAAATTTTAATTTCTTAGAAAGATTTGCTTAGATTCAAAATAACTTTTTCCTTAGCAGATAACGCTTTTTCAGAGTGTGTCAGCAATGGTGCTAGGTATCTTTCACTCTCCTATGAGGTACTTTTTCTTTGTCACATTCATTTTACAGTTTGGAATATACATATACATGAATATATAATTATACTTGACCAAAGACCCATTACAAAATTACTATTAGAACCGATTTGAAAAACATAACCTCTAAACTTTCTTTTTTTTGAGACGGAGTTTCACTCTTATTACCCAGGCTGGAGTGCAATGGTGCGATCTCGGCTCACCGCAACCTCTGCCTCCTGGGCTCAGGCAATTCTCCTGCCTCAGCCTCCTGAGTAGCTGGGATTACAGGCATGCGCCACCACGCCCAGCTAGTTTTTTGTATTTTTAGTAGAGACGGGGTTTCACCATGTTGACCAGGATGGTCTCGATCTCTTGACCTTGTGATCCACCCGCCTCGGCCTCCCAAAGTGCTGGGATTACCGGCTTGAGCCACCGCGCCCGGCCAACCTCTAAACTTTCAAGTCTTTGTTTAGTCTAGTTGTTCCTACAAATTCTTCTAAGGATCTGTTTTTTGTACTTCTTTCAAGAATTTTTTTCCCACATTTATACTATCTTCCCCTGAGCTATCCTTTTATGTATATTTGTATATATTATACAGATTGAATATCCCTTTATGTACAGTCTCCTTATCTATATTATCATAAGAATAACAATTATAATAGAGCATTACAAGCAAGGGAGTCTACATTAATCTAACCAATGTGTCAAGAAACAAAACATGTTCATAGCATACAAAAGTACTGCATGAATAAATTAAGTTTCAGTTAGGATTAATACTTTAGGTGTTTAAGGTCCTGGCAGAAATTAGGGTGAAGTATCTCAGAAACAACAAATGAACCTTACGTAGACCACAGAGTCACCCATCTTTTTCTTCAAGGTGAATAAAATGAACGAAAAAGTTTTTCTTGTGTGCCTATTAAGTATTTGGTACTACAAGGAACACATAAAAATTATAATACATTGCCTCTAACCTCCAGGAGTACTCCAGAGGAAGCTACTGTTGGTTCATGGGAGTGGAGATGGTCTAATCAAATATAAGAAGTAATAAAATATTAGAGAGAAGAAGCCTCAAATAATCTAATGAAAGAGGTTGTCTTACTGATCAGAAAATTGGGGCACAAAAGTTACTTGTCTTACTTAGTTAACACAGATTGCTAATGACAAAGCAGGTATTAGAACTTTAGTTGGCCAGGTGTGGTGGTGGTAATCCCAGGACTTTGGAAGGCCAAGGCAGGCAGATCCCAAGGTCAAGAGATTGAGACCATGCTGGACAACATGGTGAAACCCTATTCTACTTAAAATACAAAAATTAGCTGGGTGTGGTGGCATACGCCTGTAGTCCCAGCTACTCAGGAGGCTGAGGCAGGAGAATCGCTTGAACCTGGGAGGCAGAGGTTGCAATGAGCCGAGATCACACCACTGTACTCCAGCCTGGGCGAAAGAGCGAGACTCTGTCTCAAAAATGAATGAATGAATGAATAAATAAATAAATAAATAAATTTAAAAAAAAGAACTTTAGTTAAGACTAGTCTGACAGTGAACCCTAGGAGATATTGCCCAATGATCTGTGTGACAAAAGAAATGTTTGTTAAGTCCCACTATCTCTTTTCCACAACATGTAGTAGCATAAGGCTAGAGGAAAACTTGTCACATAGCATTTGTTTAGGTATATAGGAAGCTCCACACTATAAATATTGTGTAAGAAATAATTAAATTTACCCAGAGAGGGTTGTGGCCTTTACCTTTTTGGCTGCTAGGAGTTGATCTCTAGGTTCCTGCAGTGTCTTGTGTGACAATAATCTTTACTCGAGAGCTTTGGTCACTGGACAGTCTAACAATATGATTTATAGCAGAGGCTTTGGAACACACCATATCAATTCCAACCTCATGGAAGTGAAGACCAAAGGTCAGCTGCATGGGCAGTATATGATTAGGTCTGAAATAACAACTATGGACACCAAAGGCTTGGGTAAGCTTACCTGGTTGGTAATTCTCTGCATAGTTGTTATCACACATTGCTATGCTGAGATGGTAACGTTTTCTTGAGAATGACAGAAGGTTGGTGTCCAGGACACTCCCAAACCTTGTTTTTTATTTATTTATTTTTTTTTTGAGACGGAGTTTCGCTCTTGTTACCCAGGCTGGAGTGCAATGGCGCGATCTCGGCTCACCGCAACCTCCGCCTCCTGGGTTCAGGCAATTCTCTTGCCTCAGCCTCCTGAGTAGCTGGGATTACAGGCACGCGCCACCATGCCCAGCTAATTTTTTTTGTATTTTTAGTAGAGACGGGGTTTTACCATGTTGACCAGGATGGTCTCGATCTCTCGACCTCGTGATCCACCCACCTCGGCCTCCCAGAGTGCTGGGATTACAGGCTTGAGCCACCGCGCCCGGCCTAAACCTTGGTTTTTTGCATCTCTCCCTTTAGCTGATTCTGATTTCTATCTTTTTTTTTTTTTTTTTTTTTTTGAGACGGAGTTTCGCTCTCGTTACCCAGGCTGGAGTGCAATGGCACGATCTCGGCTCACCGCAACCTCCGCCTCCTGGGCTCAGGCAATTCTCCTGCCTCAGCCTCCTGAGTAGCTGGGATTACAGGCACACACCACCATGCCCAGTTAATTTTTTGTATTTTTAGTAGAGACAGGGTTTCACCATGTTGACCAGGATGGTCTCGATCTTTTGACCTCGTGATCCAACCGCCTCGGCCTCCCAAAGTGCTGGGATTACAGGCTTGAGCCACCACGCCCGGCCTGATTTCTATCTTTTGTTATAAAACTATAGGCACTAAGTATAGCACTTTCCAGAGTTCTATGAATTGTTACAGGAAGTTACCAAATCCAAGGGGACAGTGAAAAAAAAAACACTGTTTGAGCCACTCGTTCAAAAAGAGGGTGGCCTAGGGACCTTTGAACTTGTGTCTCGTGTATGAAATGGGAGCAGTCTTGGCTGTGCCCTGAGCTTTGAGTCTGGCAATATATTGGATACAAGTTTTAATTTTATTAGGTTTTTAAAATTAGGAAAAAAGGAAATTATAAACTTTTTTGATAAAATGGCTATATATTGTCCATTTTTTTGGCCTCTTCTCTTTCTCTGCCTTCCTTCATGTGCTCTTTTCTATCTCCATCAGTTTCTTGCACTAAATTTTAGGCTTTAGGTAATTTACACATTAGCTTGTTCCTATCCTCTTCTCTCTCTCCTATCTACACCTGTACATACTACCTTTTCTGCATGTGCCTTCTAACTTGCTTATAAAGTTGGCCTTCTGTTAGTCTTAATTTCTTTTTTTTTTTTTTGAGATGGAGTTTCGCTCTTGTTACCCAGGCTGGAGTGCGATGGCGCGATCTCGGCTCACCGCAACCTCCGCCTCCTGGGTTCAGGCAATTCTCCTGACTCAGCTTCCTGAGTAGCTGGGATTACAGGCACACACCACCATGCCCAGCTAATTTTTTATATTTTTAGTAGAGACGGGGTTTCACCATGTTGACCAGGATGGTCTCGATCTCTTGACCTTGTGATCCACCCGCCTTGGCCTCCCAAAGTGCTGGGATTACAGGCTTGAGCCACTGCGCCCGGCCTGTTAGTCTTAATTTCTATGGGTTTGGTCCTATCTGCTCTAAATACTAATTCCTAATTCAGGTCTTGATCCTTGTTTTCAATGTTACTTGGAAAACAATACATGGAGAGGTCTTATAGACTCTTTAATATCAGTGTGATGAGTGCTTCTAAACAAAGGAGGCTGAACAAACATACAGCACCTGAAACGCAAAAGATTCTCAATAAATACCGGTTTCCCTTTTAACTATATAGTGGAGTAAGATTATCCAAATCCGGCCGGGCGCGGTGGCTCAAGCCTGTAATCCCAGCACTTTGGGAGGCCGAGGCGGGTGGATCACAAGGTCAAGAGATCGAGACCATCCTGATCAACATGGTGAAACCCCCGTCTCTACTAAAGGTGCAAAAAATTAGCTGCGCATGGTGGCGCGTGCCTGTAATCCCAGCTACTCCAGAGGCTGAGGCAGGAGAATTGCCTGAACCCAGGAGGCGGAGGTTGCGGTGGGCCGAGATCGCGCCATTGCACTCCAGCCTGGGTAACGAGCGAAACTCCGTCTCAAAAAAAAAAAAAAAAAAGATTATCCAAATCCTCAGAGAAATAAGTATTAGGAAAGAAATGTTTTGTTTATTAACAATGAAAACCTTTGCTACTGCTCCTAACTTTTTAAAATAGAGGCAGTCATGTTTAGCATTAGGAAAATAATCCCATTTCAGTTAAAGAAACTCAAGAAAGAAACTTTAAATGATTCACATCACTCCCATACGATGAAGAAATTTAACCTATTGATTCAAGAAATTTTCAGAACAAAACTGAAATGCTCAGAGAGTAAACATGAATTATAAAAAAGCTTAAATTATACCTGATGAAATAATTCCATGTCAATTTCAGCTTCTGACTTCCAAGAGTTTTCATCTGATTGAAAAAAAAGTGATTTATTAAATTTTTGAACTTTTCTTTTTACTCTCTATGACTACATCCACATAACAAAGTGAAAACATGCAAATATCTATACCCCAAATATGCCTACTTACCAGAAACATTTTCTTGGAAAATAACTTTAGTTCCTTTCAGGAAGTTCTTGCCGATTAAAAACACTTCTTCTTCTCCTTTCACTGAACAGCTATGCAAGCTTTTCTTCAAGATTTCTGGCACTCCTGCTGGCTGAGCTGTGGATATACATAAGCATTCTATAAAAAGAACCATCCAAACTTATTTCTTACCTAAAATCAATTTGCAATCATCCAGTTCTATGAGTTGTCTTTGATGAAGGAGGGGCAGTAAATATTTTTACAATAATACAGTTATCTGGAAAGGCTCTAATTCTTGCCCTATTGACAACAGGCTTGGCCATGTGACTGGTCTGGATAATCAAATGTGAACTGAAGTAATGTGCCAAGTCCAAGTGAAAGCTTTGAGAGCCATCACATGGTTCTACCAACTCTGTTGTTGTAAGCCACTGAGTTTTGTTTTGTTGCCTTTTTAAAAATTCAGTGTTATTACAGCATGATTTAGCCTTCAGCTATTGATACAAAGTATCCTGTCTTTGTTAAATACAGGTTGAGCATCCCTAATCCAAAAATCTAAATTTTTTTTTTTTTGAGACGAAGTCTCACTCTGTCACCCAGGCTAGAGTGCAGTGATGCAATCTTGGCTCACTGCAACCTATGCCTCCCAGGTTCAAGCAATTCTTCTGCCTCAGCCTCCTAAGTAGTTGGGATTACAGGCGTGTGCCACCACACCTGGGTAATTTTTATATTTTAAGTAGAGACAGGATTTCACCATGTTGGTCAGGCTGGTCTTGAACTCCTGACCTCATGATCCACCCACAGTGACCTCCCAAAGTGCTTACAGGTGTGAGCCACCACTCCAAGGCCAAAAATCTAAAATCTCAAATGCTCTAAAATCCAAAACTTTTTGAGCACCAATACAGCGCTCAAAAATTTACACACCTGGGCCAGGTGCAGTGGTTCATACCTGTAATCCCATCACTTTGGGAGGCTGAAGTGGGAGGATCACTTGAGCCCAGGAGTTCAAACTAGCCTGGACAACAGTGAGACCTTGTCTCTACAAAAAAATAAAAAAAATTAGCTGGGCATGGTAGCATACACATATAATTCCCAGCTACTTAAAAGGCTGAGGTGGGAGAATCACTAAACCCCTGAGGTCAAGGCTGCAGTGAGCCATGATTGCACTGTTATGTGTGAAGAAGTACAAGAAAAAAGAATTGCTTATTGGTAGCATATAAATTCAGTGGCAGGTGAAACCCCGTCTCTACTAAAAATACAAAAATTTAGCTGGGTATGGCGGTGGGCATCTGTAATCCCAGCTACTCGGAAGGCTGAGGCAGGAGAATTGCTTGAACCTGGGACGTGGAGGTTGCAGTGAGCCAAGATTGTGCCACCCGCCTGAGCGTCAGATAAAGACTCCATCTAAAAAAAATTTAAAACTTAAAACAATAAAAATAAAAATAAATTCAGAGTGAGGAATGACAGTGATGCCAGATTATTTACAAAGATGGCTGAAACAGTGACACCTTTGCTTTTTGAAACTTTACTGTACAAAATTATTTAAAATATTATATAAAATTACCTTCACGCTATGTGTATAGGAAACATAAATGAATTCTGTGTTTAGACTTGGGTCCCATTCCCATGAAAACCTCATTATGTATATGTAAATATTCCAAAATCCAAAAAAATTCAAAACCTGAAATACTTTGGGTCTGAAGCATTTCAGATTAAGAGATATTTAACCTGTTTGTAAATGATAAATGCCATTTTCAGCAATGCTGGGGAGCTTAAAAGAAACAGTGAATGTATAAACGAATACACTGGCTGGGTGAGTTGGCTCAGGCCTGTAATCCCAATACTGTGGGAGGCCAAGGAGGGTGGATCACTTGAGGTCAGGAGCTCGAGACCAGCTTGGCCAACATCGTAAAACCCCATCTCTACTAAAAATACAAAAAATTAGCTGGGTATACTGGCGCATGCTTGCAATCTCAGCTACTCAGGAGGCTAAGGCAGGAAAATCACTTGAATCTGGGAGGCAGAGGTTGAAACTGGGAGGCAACTGCTTGAACCTGAGATTGCACCACTACACTCCAGCCTGGGTAACAAGACCGAGATTCCATCTAAAAAAAAAAAAACAAACAAAAACCAAAAAACAAATATTGTCTAGAACCACCGGGTTAATGTATGAACAGAATGGAAAGAGTTATTGGTCATACACTGACAATTATATATTCTTTCAGATGAAGAATTAACAAAATCAGTTTATTTAAAGGTAACTTTTTGGAGTAACAGGAAATAGATACTTGTTTTTTAAAAACATTTAAAAAAATGACATATATTGTTCTGATAAGAAAATAAAAGGTACAAAATTACATTAATATATTATATTATAAAAATGAAATGTAAAGTCTGGAATCTTTCCGTCCATTTTCAAATAGTGTATGGAAATTCCACTTCACTGATTATTGGTAAAACTTTTTCCCATATCTCATTTATCTGTTTATGTTTCAAAGGTATAAGATGGCCAAATGAGACCACAAAGGTTTAGAATATATTTATCTTCTACATATTTGTCTTTACATTCCAGAAAGAACAAGTTTGTTACTTTCAAGACAATTTAACCTTTGGCCTTTCTACTCCATACTAAAGAACACTAAAGTCAAGATTATTTAAGCATTAACTGTCTTATTTATTTATTTATTTATTTATTTATTTTTTGAGAGGGAGTTTCGCTCTTGTTATCCAGGCTGGAGTGCAATGGCGCGATCTCGGCTCACCACAACCTCCGCCTCCTGGGTTCAGGCAATTCTCCTGCCTCAGCCTCCTGAGTAGCTGGGATTACAGGCACAGGCCACCATGCCCAGCTAATTTTTTTTGTATTTTTAGTAGAGACGGGGTTTCACCATGTTGACCAGGATGGTCTCGATCTCTTGACCTTGTAATCCCAAAAGTGCTGGGATTACAGGCTTGAGCCACCGCGCCTGGCTATTTATTTATTTTTTGAGATGGAGTTTCACTCTTGTTACCCAGGATGGAGTGCAATGGCGCAATCTCAGCTCACCGCAACCTCTGCCTCCTGAGTTCAAGCAATTCTCCTACCTCAGCCTCCCGAGTAGCTAGGACTACAGGCGCGCACCACCATGCCCAGCTAATTTTTGTATTTTTAGTAGAGATGGGGTTTCACCTTGTTGACCAGGATGGTCTCGATCTCTTGACCTCGTGATCCACCCGCCTCGGCCTCCCAAAGTGCTGGGATTATAGGCTTGAGCCACCGCACCTGGCCCAACTGTTTTATTTTATTTTTATGTTTATTTATAAGCTGACTCTTGAAAGGAATAACGCTTAAAACACAAAAAAGGCTAACACCTTTTTGGTATTAGAAAAACTATGTTCTTTTAGATGCTTTTCAAATAGCAGTCTTAAAGTTGAGGCCAGGCGTGGTGGCTCATGCCTGTAATCTCAGTACTTTGGGAGGCCGAGGCGGGCGGATCACCTGAGGCCAGGAGTTCAAGACCAGCTTGGCCAACATGGTGAAACCCTGTCTTAAAAATAAATAAATAAATAAATTTTAAAAAAATGAATGTCTGAAAACTGAAAAATAAGGAAATACTTCAACCTGCCAAAAGAATAAATAAGGCTTTGTAAGAATGTCTAGTAGAAATACATACTTAATGGAATATTTTAGAGTACAACGCCTACATCTGATTATATAAATTACTAATCCTATCCAAAATTTTAAGAGAGGGATAGTTTACTTAACAACATCATCTTTTCCCTATAGTTGTGGGATAGGTAGAAATATGAAAAGTAGAAAATTCTTAAATTCAGAGTAATATTTAATTTAGTAAGCTTGGATAAAATCTAATATATATCACAAAGCCGTGATTAATTCTGTCCTATTAAAAATTACTACCGAAGGGTAGGTATGAAAATTTTTTCTTTTCTCTCTCTCTCTTTTTTTTTTTTTTTTTTGGAGTCAGAGTCTCCCTCTGCCACCAGGCTGGAGTGTAGTGTTAAGATCTCAGCTTACTACAACCTCCACCTCCGCCTCCTGGGTTCAAATGATTCTACTTGCCTCAGCCTCCTGAGTAGCTGGGATTACAGGTGTATGCCACCACGCCCAGCTAATTTTTTTGTATTTTTAGTAGAGATGGGGTTTCACCACGTTGGGCAGAATGGTCTTAATTTCTTGACCTGGTAATCTGCTCGCCTCTGCCTCCCAAAGTGCTGGGATTGCAGGAATGAGCCACCGCACCCAGCCTTTTTTCTCTTTCAGAGACAGGTTTAACAAGACCTCACTCTGTTGCCCAGGCTGGAGTGCAGTGGTGTCACCACAGCTCACCGTCTGTATCCTTGAACTCTTGGGCTCAAGTTATCCTCCTATCATAGCCTCTCAAGCAGCTGGACCTCCAGGCACATGCCACCATGTCCAGCTAATTTAAAACATTTTTGTGTGAGTGTGGAGATGGGTTCTCGCTATGTTGCCCAGGCTGGTTTTGAACTCCTGGCTTCAAGCAATCCTCCTACCTCGCCCCCGCAAAGTACTGGGATTACAGGTGTGTACACCTGCACCTTGCCTTTTTTTTAAGAGATGGGTTTGGATCCCAGCTGGATTCAAACTCCTGAGCTTGAGTGTTTCTCCTTCCTCAGCCTCCCAAGTAGCTGGGATGACAGGTATGTGCCACTGTACCTGGCTGAAAATTGATATTCTTAATTTGATATAACATAACAAAGTAATATAAACATACATGCCAAAACAAAAAACATATATACCTATATTGTCTGGAGAACACTAAAGATGTTAAGAATGTAAAAGGGGATGATCTTCTACCTGCTTAAAAACAAACAAGACAAAGCATCCAATGGCCATTGTTAAACCAACAATTAGAAGTAGTAAATTTTTTAAAGCCACAAAGTACTGCATGAATCCTGGTATTAGAAATTCTTTCCACTGAGTGTCTATAGAATGAAGATTAAGTATCTGTTTCCTCTTCTCCCTTCCAACTCTTGTCACCTTTTGGCCCCTCTTTCCTTTTTCACCTCTCTCTCTTTGTGTTTCCTTCTATCTCCCATTCCAATCCGAAATCTTCACACTAACCAATTTCCTTTTTACCTCTCATTTTACTCTAACCGCTTAAACCTGCCAAAACTTTTAT